TTTTTCCCCAAAAACCCAGGAAAACTGCCCCTAAATCTGCCCCTTTTGCCCCTGAATTCTGGGAAAACTGCCCCAAAATCATCTCTTTTTCCCCCCAAATCCACCTCTTTCACCTCCAAAATCCAGGGAAAACTGCCCCAAATCCACCCCTTTCACCCCCAAAATCCGCCTTTTTTATCCCACATCTACCCCTTTAGTCCAAATCCACCCCTTTTTCCCAAAATCCAGGAAAACTGCCCTTAAATCTGCCCCTTTTGTCCCAAATTCTGGGAAAACTGCCCCAAAATCTGTCCCTTTTGCCCCCAAATCCACCCCTTCTCCTTCAAAACCCACCCCTTATTCCCCCAAATCTGCCCCTTTTACCCCTAAATTCTGGGAGAACAGTCCCAAAATCCCGGTTTTTCCCCCAAAATTCCCGTTTTCCCCGCAGAGAGCGGCTCCGTGTTCGCCTTCGGGGAGAACAAGCTGGGCCAGCTGGGGCTGGGGAACCAGACGGACGCCGTGCCCAGCCCCACCCAGGTACCGACCCCAAACCCCAATTTGGGGGAAATTCCAGGGATTTTGGGGCTTCTGGTGACAAATTCCCTAAAAACCCCCCAGGGTGCACAATTCCCTCCCAGCCGGGAGCCGTTTCCAGATGTGGTGGGATTTGGAAATGGAATTTTTGAGGATTTTAGGGATTTTCTGATCGAAGTTCCTTTGGTTTTCCCATTTCCCAAATTTTTTGGTCCTGTTTTTCCAGCTTTTTCCGCAGGTCAGGGATTTCCCATGGAAATTTTCCCTTTTATCCTTTTTCCTGTGTTTTCTGATCCCGTTTTTCCTGCTTTTTGTGCAGATCAAGGATTTCCTGTGGAAATTCCCCTCTTTTCCCACATTTCTTCAATCCTGTTTTTCCTGCTTTTCCCATGTTTTTCTGATCCCTTTCTATCTGCTCTTCCCATGTCCTTGATCCCATTTTCCCTGCCAATCAGGGGTTTCCCATGGAAATTCCCCATTTTACCCTTTTTTCCTGGCCTTTCTGATCACATTTTTCCAGCTTTTCCCACATTTCTGATACCGATTTTTCTCAGTTTGTCTGATCTCATTTTTCTGGATTTTCCCAAATTTCTCATCCCCATTTTCCCAGGTTTTTCTGATCTCATTTTTCTGGATTTTCCCAAATTTCTGATCCCTCTTTTCCCATTTTCCCAGGTTTTTCTGATGCCATTTTCCAGCTTTTCCTGTTTTTCTGATCCCCATTTTCCCCTTTTCCCAGGTTTTTCTGATCCCATTTTTCCAGGTTTTCCTGTTTTTCTGATCCCCATTTTCCAGGTTTTTCTGATCCCATTTTCCAGCTTTTGCTGTGTTTCTGATCCCTGTTTCCCCCTTTTCCAGGTTTTTCTGATCCCATTTTTCTGGCTTTTCTTGTGTTTCTGATCCCCATTTTCCTCTTTTTCCTCTGTTTTTCTGATCCATTTTTTCAGCTGTTCCTGTGTTTCTGATCCCCATTTTCCCTTTTTCCAAGTTTTTCTGATCCCATTTTTCCAACTTTTCCTGTGTTTCTGATCCCCATTTTCCCCTTTTTCCCCCTTTTCCAGGTTTTTCTGATCCCATTTTCCAGCTTTTCCTGTGTTTCTGATCCCCATTTTTGTTCTTCTCCCACATTTCTGATCCCATTTTCCCAGTTTTTCTGATGCCCTTTCCCATTTTCCCGGTTTTTCTGATCCCCCTTTCCCATTTTCCCAGATTTCCTGACCCCGTTCCCGTTTTTTCCAGATCCTGTACAATGGGCAGCCGATCTCCAAGCTGGGCTGCGGGGCCGAGTTCAGCATGGTCATGGACTGCAAGGGGAACCTGTATTCCTTCGGGTGCCCCGAGTACGGCCAGCTGGGTACGGGATTTGGGATCAATCCATGGGAATGGGATCATCCCATGGGAACCTGTATTCCTTTGGGTGCCTCGAGTACGGCCAGCTGGGTACGGGATTTGGGATCAATCCATGGGAATGGGATCATCCCATGGGATCCTGTATTCCTTTGGGTGCCTCGAGTACGGCCAGCTGGGTACGGGATTTGGGATCAATCCATGGGAATGGGATCATCCCATGGGATCCTGTATTCCTTTGGGTGCCTCAAGTACGGCCAGCTGGGTATGGGATTTGGGATCCATGGGATCACACCATGGAATCACCCAGTGGGAATGGGATTTGGGATCATCCCATGGCAATGGGATTTGGGATCACCCCATGGGAATGGGATCACCCTATGGGAACCTGTATTCCTTCGGGTGCCCCGAGTACGGCCAGCTGGGTATGGGATTTGGGATCATTCCATGGGAATGGGATTTGGGATCATCCCATGGCAATGGGATTTGGGATCATCCCATGGGATCCTGTATTCCTTTGGGTGCCTCGAGTACGGCCAGCTGGGTACGGGATTTGGGATCTATGGGGTCACACCATGGATCACCCAGTGGGAATGGGATTTGGGATCATCCCATGGGAATGGGATTTGGGATCATCCCGTGGGAACCTGTATTCCTATGAGTGTCCTGAGTATGGCCAGCTGGCTATGGGGTTTGGGATTATCCCCATGGGAATGGGATTTGGGATCACCCCATGGGAATGGGATTTGGGATCATCCCATGGGAACGGGATTTGGGATCATCCCATGAGAATGGGATCACCACATGGGATCACCCCACGGGAACCTGTATTCCTTTGCGTGTCCGGAGTATGGCCAGCTGGGTATGGGATTTGGGCTTATCCCATGGGATCATCCAGTGGAATTTGAGATCATCCCATGGGATCATCCAGTGAGATTGGGGCTGGTTTGGGATCATCCTGTGGGATTAGGGCTGGTTTGGGATCATCCTGTGGAGTGGGGGCAGTTTGGCACGATCCCATGGGATCGGGGTGGTTCAGGATCATCCCATGGGGTCAGGGCGGTTCAGGATCATCCCATGGGATTGGGGCGGTTCCAGATGATCCCATGAGATGAGGTGGTTTGGGATGACCCTGTGGGATGGGGGCAGTTCAGGATGATCCTGTGGGATGGGGGCAGTTTGGGATGACCCCAAGGGATGGAGCTGTTCAGGATCACCCCACTGGATTGGGGCAGTTTGGGATGATCCCATGAGATTGGGGCAGTTCACTATGACCCCATGGGATTGGGGCAGTTCAAGGTCACCCTATGGGGTCTGGGTGGTTCGGGATGATCCCATGGAATTGGGGCAGTTTTAGGATGATCCTGCAGGATCAGGGCAGTTCGGGATCGCCCCGCAGGATGGGGTGGTTTGGGATGACTCTGTGGGATCGGGGCGGTTCGGGTTCACCCCATGGGATCGGGGTGGTTCAGGATGATCCTGCAGGATGGGGTAGTTTGGGATGACCCTGTGGGGTGTGGGTGGTTCAGGATGATCCCATGGAATCGGGGCAGTTTCAGGATGACCCTGCAGGATCGGGGAGGTTCGGGATGACCCCATGGGATCAGGGTGGTTCAGGATGACCCCGCAGGGTGGGGTCAGTTCTGGATGACCCCACAGGATCGGGGCAGTTTGGGATGACCCTGAGAGATGGGGCTGTTCAGGATGACCCCATGGGATTGGGGTGGTTCGGGATGATCCCATGAGATTGGGGCAGTTTGGGATGACCCTATGGGATTGGGGCAGTTCAGGATCACTCTGTGGGGTCGGGGGTTCAGGATGACCCCACAGGATTGGGGTGGTTCAGGATGATCCCATGGGATTGGGGCAGTTCAGGATCACTCTATTGGGTCTGGGTAGTTCGGGATGATCCCATGGAATCGGGGCAGTTTTGGGATGATCCCATGGGATCAGGGTGGTTCAGGATGACCCCCCACAGGATTGGGGCACTTAGGGATCACCCCATGGGATTGGAGCGGTTCGGGATGACCCTGTGGGGTCAGGGCAGTTTGGGATGACTCCATGGGGTCGGGGTGGTTTGGATGACCCCACAGGACGCTCAGGCCGGCTGTGCCCCGTTCCCGTTGCAGGGCACAATTCCGACGGGAAGTTCATCGCGCGGGCGCAGCGCATCGAGTACGACTGCGAGCTGCTGCCGCGGCGCGTGGCGCTCTTCGTGGAGCGCACCAAGGACGGGCAGGTGCTGCCCGTGCCCAACGTCGTGGTCAGGGACGTGGCCTGCGGGGCCAACCACACGGTACGGAACGTGGGATCGGGAATATGGATTGGGATAACGGGAATGGGTCAGGGGCGTGGCCTGCGGGGCCAACCACACGGTACGGGAACGTGGGATCGGGAATATGGGATTGGGATAACGGGAATGGGTCAGGGGCGTGGCCTGCGGGGCCAACCACACGGTACGGGAACGTGGGATCGGGAATATGGGATTGGGATAACGGGAATGGTCAGGGGCGTGGCCTGCGGGGCCAACCACACGGTACGGGAACGTGGGATCGGGAATATGGGATTGGGATAACGGGAATGGGTCAGGGGCGTGGCCTGCGGGGCCAACCACACGGTACGGGAACGTGGGATCGGGAATATGGATTGGGATAACGGGAATGGGTCAGGGGCGTGGCCTGCGGGGCCAACCACACGGTACGGGAACGTGGGATCGGGAATATGGGATTGGGATAACGGGAATGGGTCAGGGGCGTGGCCTGCGGGGCCAACCACACGGTACGGGAACGTGGGATCGGGAATATGGGATTGGGATAACGGAATGGGTCAGGGACGTGGCCTGTGGGGCCAACCACATGGTACGGGAATGTGGGAATATGGGATTGGGATAATGGGGTTGGGAATATGGGATTGGATCAGGGACATGGCCTGCAGGGCCAACCACACGGTATGGGAATGTGGGATTGGGATAATGGGATCGGGATAACGGGAATGGGTCAGGGACGTGCCTGTGGGGCCAACCACATGGTATGGGAATGTGGGAATGTGGGATAATGGGATTTGGAATAGGGGGATGGGTCAGGGACGTGGCCTGTGGGGCCAACCATACAGTGTGGGAATAGGGAATATGGGATTGGGATAATGGGAATGTGGGAATGGGTCAGGCATGTGGGACCAACCACAGGGTACGGGAATAGGGGAATGGATAATGGGATCAGGATAATGGGAATGGGTCAGGGACATAGCCTGCTGGCCAGCCACTCAGTATGGGAAGGTGGGAATGGGATAATGAATTGGGAATATGGGAATGGGTCAGGGACGTGGCCTTTGGGGCCAGCACACAGTACAGGAATGTGGGATTGGGATAATGGGATTGGGATAACGGGAATGGGTCAGGGACATGCCTGCCGGGCCAACCACACAGTACAGGAGTATGGGATCAGGATTGTGGGAATGGGTGCAGGAATGGGAATGGGAGAGGGAGAATGGACAGAAATGGGAGAGGGCAGCTCTCAGCCCCTGCCCCCCCATTCCCAGCTGGGGCTGCATTCCCAGGAATGTATTTTCCTGGGATTTGGTATCTCTGAACCCCTGCTCCCTCCCTCCATCCCAGCCAGTGCCGGATTCCCAGAAGCGCGTGTTCTCCTGGGATTTGGGGTTTGGGATTTGGGATCTGAGGCTGTTTTCCCTGTTTCCCAGCTGGTGCTGGATTCCCAGAAGCGTGTGTTCTCCTGGGATTTAGGATCTGGGATCTGGGATTTGGAATTTGAGGCTGTTTTCCCTGTTTCCCAGCTGGTGCTGGATTCCCAGAAGCGGCGTGTTCTCCTGGGGCTTTTGGGATCTGGGGATTGGGATTTGGTGTCTGGGATTTGGATCTGAGGCTGTTTTCCCTGTCCCATCCCAGCTGGTGCTGGACTCCCAGAAGCACGTGTTCCCCTGGGATTTGGGATTTGGAATTTGGGATTTGGGATCTCTGAGGCTGTTTTCCCTGTGTCCCAGCTGGTGCTGGATTCCCAGAAATGCGTGTTCTCCTGGGGCTTTGGGATCTGGGATTTGGGATCTCTGAGGCTGTTTTCCCTGTTTTCCCTGTGTCCCAGCTGGTGCTGGATTCCCAGAAGCGCGTGTTCTCCTGGGGCTTTGGGGTTTGGGATTTGGGATCTGAGGCTGTTTTCCCTGTTTCCCAGCTGTGCTGGACTCCCAGAAGCACGTGTTCCCCTGGGATTTGGGATTTGGAATTTGGGATTTGGGATCTCTGAGGCTGTTTTCCCTGTGTCCCAGCTGGTGCTGGATTCCCAGAAATGCGTGTTCTTTTGGGATCTGGGATTTGGGATCTCTGAGGCTGTTTTCCCTGTGTCCCAGCTGGTGCTGGACTCCCAGAAGCGCGTGTTCTCCTGGGGCTTTGGGATCTGGGATTTGGGATCTGAGGCTGTTTTCCCTGTTTTCCCTGTGTCCCAGCTGGTGCTGGACTCCCAGAAGCGCGTGTTCTCCTGGGATTTGGGGTTTGGGATTTGGGATCTGAGGCTGTTTTCCCTGTTTTCCCTGTGTCCCAGCTGGTGCTGGACTCCCAGAAGCGCGTGTTCTCCTGGGGCTTTGGGATCTGGGATTTGGGATCTGAGGCTGTTTTCCCTGTTTTCCCTGTTTCCCAGCTGGTGCTGGATTCCCAGAAGCGCGTGTTCTCCTGGGGCTTTGGTATCTGGGATTTGGGATTTTAGGCTGTTTTCCCTGTGTCCCAGCTGGTGCTGGACTCCCAGAAGCGCGTGTTCTCCTGGGGCTTTGGGATCTGGGATTTGGGATCTGAGGCTATTTTCCCTGTTTTCCCTGTGTCCCAGCTGGTGCTGGACTCCCAGAAGCGCGTGTTCTCCTGGGGCTTTGGTGGCTACGGGCGCCTGGGCCACGCGGAGCAGAAGGACGAGATGGTTCCCAGGCTGGTGAAGCTCTTCGACTTCCCGGGGCGCGGCGCCGCCCAGATCTACGCGGGATACACCTGCTCCTTCGCCGTCAGCGAGACCGGTGCGAACTCGGGATCTGGGATTTGGGAATGCCGGGAGGCGATGGCAGCGAGATGGGGGGATTTGGGAATGCCAGAGATGCTGGGGGGGGGGGGGGGGGTGGCAGCAAGATGGGTGGGACACAGGATTTGGGATTCGGGAATGCCAGGGGGATGGCAGCGAGATGAGTGGAATATGGGATCTGGGATATGGTAGTGCTGGGAGGATGGCAGTGAGACTGGTGAGATACGGGATCAGGATTCAGGAATGCTGGGGGGGATGGCAGCAAAATGGTGGGAATGCAGGATCTGGGATTTGGGAATGCTGGGGGAGGTAGCAGCGAGACGGATGGGATTTGGGATTTGGGAATGCTGGGGGGGATGGCAACGAGATGGGTGGGATACAGGATTTGGGAATGCCAGGGGGATGGCAGCGAGAAGGGTGGATACGGAATTTGGGATTTGAGAATGCAGGGGGGATGGCAGTGAGATGGGTGGGATTTGGGATATGGGATTCGGGATTTGGGAATGCCGGGGGGATGGCAGTGAGACGGGTGGAATTCGAGATTCAGGAATGGCAGGGGAGATGGCAGCAAGATGGGTGGGATTCAGGATTTGGGAATGCCAGGAATGACGGGGGAGTGGCAGTGAGATGGGTGGGGATCTGGGATTTGGGAATGCTGGGGGGGGGATGGTAGTAAGATGGGTAAGATGGGGTTTGGGATACAGGATATGGGAATGCTGTAGGGGATGGCAGTGAGATGTGTGGGGATCTGGGATTTGGGATTCGGGAATGCTAGGGGGATGGCAATGAGACAGGTAGGATACAGGATTGGGATTTGGGAATGCTGGGGGGATGATGGCAGTGACATGGGTGGGATACGGGATTGGGATTCAGGAATGCCGGAGGGATGGCAGTGACATGGATGGGGATCTGGGATTTGGGAATGCCAGGGGGATGGCAGTGAGACAGGTGGGATACGGGATTTGGGATTTGGGAATGCCAGGGGGATGGCAGCGAGACGGGTAGGATACAGGATCGGGATTTGGGAATTCTGGGGGGATGGCAGTGAGATGGGTGGGGATTCAAGATTCAGGATTTGGGAATGCCGGGGGATGGCAACGAGATGAGTGGGATATGGGATCTGGGATATGGGAATGCCGAGGGGGATGGCAGTGAGATGGGTGAGATACAGGATTTGGGATTTGGGAATGCTGGGGGATGGCAGCAAGACAGGTGGGATACAGGATTTGGGAATGCTGAGGGTGATGGCAGAAGATGGATGGGAATACAGAATCTGGGATTTGGGAATGCTGGGGGAAATGGCAGTGGGACAGATGGGAATTTGGGATCTGGGAATGCTGGGGGGCTGTCAGTGAAACAGGTGTGAATTTGGGATTTGGGAGTGCTGAAGGGGGGCCGGCAACGAGACAGGTGGGAATGCCAGGATCCCAGGATTTGGGAATGCTGGGAGAAAGGTGGACTGACATGTGGGAGATTCCCAGGGATTTGGGAACTCCAGGGAGCCATGGCCTGATAGGTGGGATCCCAGAGATCCCTGACATGTGGGATTCCTGGGATTCGGGAATTCTGGGGGATCTGAGCCTTGACAGATGGGATTGCTGGGATCCCTGACAGTTGGGATTCCCAGGATTCGGGAATTCCGGGCTCCGTGCCCTGACAGGTGGGATTGCTGGGATTTGGAATTCTGGAATATGGGATCCCTGACTCGTGGGATTGCTTTGATCCCTGACAGTTGGGGTTCCCAGGATTTGGGAATTCCGGGCTCCATGCCCTGACAGGTGGGGTTCCTGGGATCCCTGACAGCTGGGATTCCCGGGATTTGGGAATTCTGGGATCTGGGATCCCTGACAGGTGGGGTTCCTGGGATCCCTGACAGCTGGGATTCCCGGGATTTGGGAATTCCGGGCTCCGTGCCCTGACAGGCTCCCTTGCAGGTGGGCTGTTCTTCTGGGGTGCCACCAACACCTCCCGGGAGTCCACCATGTACCCCAAGGCCGTGCAGGACCTGTGCGGGTGGAAGATCCGCAGCCTGGCCTGCGGGTGAGTGTGGATACGGGAATTCCCACCCCAGATCCCGGGATCTGGGCCCTGGGACACTCAGGGATCAGGGATCGCCTCCCTTGCAGGAAGAGCTCCGTCATCGTGGCGGCCGACGAGAGCACCATCAGCTGGGGGCCCTCGCCACCTTCGGGGAGCTGGTAATGAATGACACCCCAAAAAAAAACCCAAATAAACCCCAAATAACACCCCAAATCCCGCAAAGTGACACCCCAAACACCCCAAACTGACACGCCAAACCCACCGTCAGCTGGGGGCCCTCGCCCGCCTTCGGGGAGCTGGTACTGAATGACACCCCAAAAAACCCAAAAACCCCAAATGACACCCCAAATTCCCCAACTGACACCACAAATCCCCCAACCTCTGACATCCCCAAACCCACTATCAGCTGGGGACCCTCAGCCCCCTTCAGGAACTGAAACTCAATGATACCCCAAAAAAAAACCCAAATAAAACCCCAAATAACACCCCAAATCCCCCAAACTGACACCCCAAATCCACCATCAGCTGGGGCCCTCACCGACCTTTGGGGAGCTGGTACCAACACCCCAAAAACCCCAAGTAAAATCCCAAATCCCCCAAAGTGACACCCTTAATACCCCAAGGAACCCCAAACTGACACCTCAAACCCACCATCAGCTGGGGGCCCTCGTGCACCCTTGGGGAGCTGGTACTGACACCCCAAAACCCCAAAATGACACCCCAAATGACGCCCCAAATCCCCCAAACCATGTGGCCCGGCCCCTCTGGCCCCACTGAGCATTCCCTGTCCATGGGATGTTCCCACAGGGATGTGGGGACCACAAACCCAAATCCCCAAAGGGACACCCCAAATCCCCCAAACCCTGGGGCCTTACTGAGCATTCCTGTCCGTGGCATGTTCCCACAGGGATATGGGGATGACAAACCCAAATCCCCCCAAAGGGACACCCCAAAACCCCAAATCCCCCAAACCCCAGAGCCCCACTGAGCATTCCCTGTCCATGGGATGTTCCCACAGGGATATGGGGACCACAAACCCAAATCCCCCAAAGGGACACCCCAAATCCCCAAACCCTGGGGCCTTACTGAGCATTCCCTGTCCATGGGATGTTCCCACAGGGATATGGGGACCACAAACCCAAATCGTCCACGGCGGCGCAGGAGGTGAAAACCCTGGACGGGATCTACACCGAGCAGGTGAGGGCACCCCACAGGGCTTGGGGTGGGGGATACATGGAGGGGGGGCTCATCCACCTGTGGGGTGATGGGAGGGACATACGGGGACTCATTTGGGGTGGCTGAGGCTGTTGTGAGCTCATCCCACCTGTGGGGTGATGGGGGGACATATGGACACTCATTTGGGGTGGCTGAGGCCGTGCCGAGCTCCTCACACCCATGGGGTGCTGGAGAGGGGCACCTGCATTCCCCTGAAATAATTTGGGGTGTCTGAGGCTGTGCCAAGCTCATCCCACCCATTCCCCTAAAATGAATAGGGACACTGAGACCCTACACAGCCCATCCCACCTGTGGGGTGATGCAGGGAGACCCTTCCCTAAAATGAACAGGAATGGAAGCCCTCTCAGGGATGTGGGGCCATCCCATGGAATAAATAGGGACACTGAGGCCATGCACAGCTCATCACACCTGTGGGGTGAGGGAGGAGCACCTGAATCCCCCTAAAATAAATAAAGGAGGCTCATGGCACCTGTGGAGTGATGGAGAGAGGATACAAGGGGCCATTCCCTAAAATAATTTGGGGTGGCTGAGACTGTGCCAAGCTCATCACACCTGTGGGGTGAGGGAGGGAGCACCTGGATCCCCCCAAAATAAATAGATGGAGGTGATGGAGAGAGGATACAAGGAGCCATTCCCTAAAATAGTTTGGGGTGGCTGAGACTCCACACAGCTCGTCACACCCCTGGGGTGAGGGAGGGAGGGCAGGGGGGACCCTCCCCATGGATAAACCCAGGGGTGAGGCCATGCCCAGCTCATGACACCCATGGGGTGATGGAGAGAGGGCATGGGAGGGCTGGTCCCTAAATTAAACAGAGAAACTGAGGCCGTTCCCTAAATTAAACAGGAGGCCATTCCCTAAATTAAACAGGGAAACTGAGGCTGTGCCCATCACATCCATGGGGTCGTGGAGAGGGCACACGGGGCTATTCCCTAAAATAAATGGGGAAACTGAGGCCATTCCCTAAATTAAGCAGGGAAACTGGGGCCATACTCAACTCATCACATCCATGGGGTCGTGGAGAGGGCACACGGGGCTATTCCCTAAAATAAATGGGGAAACTGAGGCCATTCCCTAAATTAAGCAGGGAAACTGGGGCCATACTCAACTCATCACTTCCATGGGGTCATGGAGAGGGCACACGGGGCTATTCCCTAAAATAAACAGGGAAACTGAGGCCGTGCCCAGCTCGTGACACCCCTGGGGCCCTCCCCTAAAGCAAACAGGGCAGTGAGGCCGTGCACAGCTCATCCCACCTGTGGGTGATGCAGGGAGGGCACCAGGAGCTGTTCCTAAAATAAACGGGGAATGAACTGAGGCTGTGCACAGCTCATCAGATCCAGGGGGCCCTCCCATAAAACAAACAGGGAAACTGAGGCCGTGACACCCACGGGTGATGTGTGTGAATCCCCTTTAAATAAACCCAGGGCTGAGGCCATACACGACTCATGACACCAGGATCCAATCCCTAAAATAAACAGGGACACTGGGGCTGTGCCCAGCCTGTGACACCCATGGGTGCCCTGCAGGGGGTGCAGGGCCCTTCCCTAAAACTCCCTTGGGATGCTCCAGCCCAGCCTGGATCCCAGCAGGCAGGCGGGATCCTGGGAAGGCTCTGGGTCCCTCAGCTCCCCTTTCACTTTTCCATGGGCAGTGTCCGCTCCCGGGTGACCCTTCCCAGTTCAGTTCCCAGTTCCATGGGCGCTCCCACTCCAGCTGACCCATTCCCGGTTCCATGGGTATTCCAGCTGACCCATTCCCAGTTCTGTGGCTACTCCCACTCCCAGCTGACCCATTCCCGGTTCCATGGGTATTCCAGCTGACCCATTCCCGTTCCAGGTGGCCATGAGCTGTTCGCACTCCCACCTGACCCATTGCTGTTCCAGGTCTCTGTGGGCTATTCCCAACTGACCCATTCCCATTCCAGGCAGCCATGGGCTATTCCCATTACTGTTCCCATTCCTGTTCCCATTCCTGTTCCAGGTGCCCATGAGCTATTCCCACTCCCATTCCTGTTCCCATTCCCATTCCTGTTCCCTTTCTCATTCCAGGCAGCCATGGGCTATTCCCATTCCCATTCCTGGTGGCCATGGGCTATTCCCATTCCCAGCTGACCCATTCCCTTTCCCATTCCAGGTGGCCATGGGCTATTCCCATTCCCATTCCAGGTGCCCATGGGCTATTCCCATTCCTGTTCCCATTCCCGTTCCAGGCAGCCATGGGCTATTCCCATTCCCATTCGTGGTGGCCATGGGCTATTCCCATTCCCAGCTGATCCATTCCCATTCCAGGTGGCCATGGGCTATTCCCATTCCTGTTCCAGGTGGCCATGGGCTATTCCCATTCCCAGCTGACCCATTCCCTTTCCCATTCCAGGTGGCCATGGGCTATTCCCATTCCCATTCCAGGTGCCCATGGGCTATTCCCATTCCTGTTCCCATTCCCGTTCCAGGTGGCCATGGGCTATTCCATTCCCAGCTGACCCATTCCCTTTCCCATTCCAGGTGGCCATGGCTATTTCCATTCCCGTTCCAGGTGGCCATGGGCTATTCCCATTCCCAGCTGACCCATTCCCATTCCCATTCCAGGTAGCCATGGGCTATTCCCATTCCTGTTCCCATTCCCGTTCCAGGTGGCCATGGGCTATTCCCACTCCCTGGTGATCGCCCGGGACGAGTCGGAGGCGGAGCAGGAGAAGCTGCGGAAGCTCCCGGAGTACAACCCCCGCACCCTCTGAGGGGCCCCGATCCCGATCCCGATCCCGCTTCTCCATCCCGGCCGCCGTGCTCCCTCCCCGCTCCCGCACTCCCAGCCCTCGGCGGGGTCGCTCCCACCCCCATTCCCGGCTTTTGGAATTCCCCACCGGGCCTCCCGGCACGTCCCACCCCGGGTTTTGTAGGTCTGGCCTTGAATTGTTTTTTATTTTATTTGTATTTTTCCGCAGCTTTTTTTTACTGTTTCCCGTTTTTCCAGCCCCGAATCTCCGCGGGCTGCCGGCTCGGGATCACTTTGGGGATCTGATCCCGGCTTGGGATCCCTTTAGGGATCTGGGATCCCTAAAGAGCAGCTGCCAACACCTGGTTTTTCCCCTATATTCCCATTTTTTTCACCCCAATATTCCCATTTTTCCCCCCAATATTCCCATTTTTTGCTGGTTTTCCCTACTCTGGGTGCTACAGTTTTTGGGATTTCCCCCCTCCCAGCCCTCCAGCATCCGCAGGGATCCCGGATCCCATCCCAGCAGCATTCCCGGGCTCCCCACCCTCGCCCACCCCGGGGACATCTCAGGGATCACGAGGGGAGTCCCAAAGGAATTTTTTTCCGGGAATTCGGGGGTTTTTTTCCTTCTGGCGGATGGTTTGGCCCGGGATCAGCCGGAATTCCCACATTCCCAGTTCCCTCCGTGCCAGGTCACTGTGCTGGAATCTCGAGGTGCCTTCAGGAGCAGAGCCCGGCTCTGCCCCGCGCGCATTCCCGCTCCCTTCGGGCCGTTTTTAGGGATTCTCCTGGATTTTTCCATGGATTTTTGCTCCTTCCCATCTCCCCCGGGGCGGCGCTCGGGGAGTTTGCAGTAAAAAAAAATGGGTTTGGTCAATTTTTGGGATCGGGGGTCGTTTTCCAGGGGCTTTGGAGAGGGGAGATCCCAGCTGGGGGGAAAATCCCAAATCCCACTTTTTTAGCAGTGTTTAGGGTGGAAATCACCAAAACCCTGCTTGGAGCCCCAAAAGCTGTGGGGTGGGGGGGTCATTCCCACATTCCAGAGGGGCCATTCCCGAGGAATCCCAGATTCGGGAAGGATTCCAGGAGGCTCATTCCTGCATTTCGGGGAATTCTCAGCTCGAGGGGTCATTCCTCGGGAATTCCCAGGGTTCAGGAAGGATCTGGGGGTGCTGTTCCCACATTCCCATGGGGCCATTCCTACACTTCCATGGGGCCATTCCCGCATTCCCAGGAAATTCCCAGATTTGGGAAGGATCCAGGAGGGTCATTTCTGCAATTCCTGGGGAATTCTCAGCTCAGGAAGGATCCTTTGGGGAGGTCATTCCCGAGGGGTCATTCCCAGGGAATTCCCAGATTCGGGAAGGATCCAGGAGGGTCATTCCTGCATTCCCGAGGGTCATTCCTGCATTTCTGGGGAATTCTCAGCTCAGGAAGGAACCTTGGGGGTCGTTCCTGAGGGGTCATTCCTGAGGAATTCCCAGGTTCAGGAAGGATCCAGGGGTGCCGTTCCCACATTCTGGGCAATTCCCAGATTTGGGAAGGATCCAGGAGGCTCATTCCTGCATTCCAGGGAATTCCTCAGCTCAGGAAGGATCCTTGGGGAGGTCATTCCCAAGGGGTCATTCCCAGGGAATTCCCAGGTTCGGGAAGGATCTGGGGATGCTGTTCCCACATTCCCATGGGGCTGTTCCTGTATTCCCAGGGAATTCCCAGGGTTCGGGAAGGATCCGGGGGTGCCATTCCCACATTCCTGAGGGTCATTCCCGCATTCCCATGGGGCCATTCCCGAGGAATTCCAGCTCTGGGAAGGATCCTCGGGGGTCATTCCCAAGGGGTCATTCCCAAGGCATTCCCATCTTCAGGAAGGATCCGGGGGTGCCATTCCCACATTCCTGAGGGTCATTCCCGCATTCCCATGGGGCCATTCCCGAGAAATTCCATCTTGGAAGGCTCCAGGAGGGGCTGGGGGAGGCTCCAGGGGGATCAGGGGGATGGAGCAGCTCTGCTGGGAGGAAAGGCTGGGAATGCTCACCTGGAGCAGCTCCAGGGACAGCTCAGAGCCCCGGCAGGGCCTGAAGGGCTCCAGGAGAGCTGGAGAGGGGCTGGGGACAAGGATGGAGGGACAGGACACAGGGAATGGCTTCAAAGTAAAGAGGGATAATTTGGATTGTGATATTTGGGATAAATCCTTCCCTGAGAGAGTGGGAAAGGGCTGGGATGGAATTCCCAGAGCAGGGCTGCCCTTGGATCCCTAGAGGTGCCCAAGGCCAGGCTGGACATTGGGGCTTGGGGAGCGCCTGGGACAGTGGGAGGTGTCCCTGCCCCCGGGAATGGATGAGCTTGAAGGTCCCAAGATTCCATAATTCCATGGTTCCATAATTCCATGATTCCATTATTCCCTGATCCCACGTGGATTTTTTCACTGGGACAGCAGTTCCAGAGCCCCAGCCCATTCCCCACCAGTTTAACCACTCCAGCGTTCTCCCAGTGCCAGGAGAGCCCCACGGAGCCCCCACAGCCCAGATTTGGATTTATTTCGCCACCGAAGGCACTTGGCAGGGACTGGGGCAGGAGGGGACACGCAGGGGACACGGAGCCACCTCAGGGCACCACGTGCCACCACTTGAAGGCGAAGGGCTTGCGGCGCACGTTGGTGCCGCAGTGCACCTCGCCCAGCCCGATGTGGTAGGTGAAGAAGTCGTCGATGAAGGTGCAGGAGAGGCCCAGCGGCTCCAGCAGCTCCCGCACGCGCTGCTCCAGGCAGCAGCGCCCGCCCACCACGGGCCCGAAGGGTTTGGGGATGCCCAGGTGCCGGCCCAGCACCAGCATGTTCACCTGGAGCAGAGCGGGGAGTACAGCAGGGAGCAGCCAGGGACGGCCCCAGCCCATCAGGGACATCCCAGCCCAGGGACATCCCAACCCCATCAGGGACATCCCAGCCCAGGGACATCCCAACCCCATCAGGGCACATCCCAACCCTGTTCCCATCAAGAGACATCCCAGCCCAGGGACGTCCCCATCCCATCAGGGAACATCCCAGCCCCAATCCCATCAGGGAACATTCTGGCCCCGATCCCATCGGGGCAATTCCCGATCCCATCAGGGAACATCCCAACCCTGATCCCATCAGGAGACATCCTGATCCCATCAGGGCACATCCCAGTCCCATCCAGGCACATCCTGGCCCTGATCCCATCAAGGAACATCCCAGCCCAGGGACATCCCAGCCCCAATCCCACCCCAGGGACATCCCAGCTTCAATCCCATCCTGGGGAAACCCCGATCCCATCAGAGGACATCCTGCCCTGGGGAGATCCCAGCCTGATCCCACCCCAGGGAGCCTCCTGGCTCAATCCCTCAGGGAACAACCCAGCCCCGATCCCATCAGGGAGCATCCTGACCCCAATCCTGGCTCGGGGATATCCCAATCCTGACCCTGATCCCATCAGGGAACATCCCAGCCCCAATCCTGACGCCGATCCCACCCCAGGGAGCATCCCAGCTCAATGCCATCAGGGAGCATCCTGGCCCCAATCCTGGCTCAGGGATATCCCGACCTGACCCCAACCCTGATCCCACCAGGGAGCATCCCAGCCCAGGGAATCCCCGATCCCATCAGGGGACATCCTGACCCCGATCCCACCCTGGGGAGATCCCAGCCCTGATCCCGCCCCTGGGAGCATCCCGGCTCAATCCCATCAGGGAACATTCCAGCCCCAATCCCGGCTCAGGGACATCCCGACCTGACCCTGACCCTGATCCCATTAGGAAACATGCCAGCCTCACTCCTGACCCCAATCCCACCCTGGGGAGCATCCCAGCCCCATCCTGGCCCAGGGAATCCCTGATCCCACCAGGGAACATCCCAGCCTCAATCCTGGCCTGGGGACATCCCAGCCCCGATCCCATCAGGGAATATCCCAATCCCACCCCAGGGAGCTCAGGGGTGCCGCTACCATGTCCGGGAAGAAGGCCTTGGCGTCGGCCCCCGCGTTGTTGTGGCTCTGGAAGAGCTGCGGGATGTCCAGGATGTCGGGCTCGGCCAGGCCCAGCGAGCGCTTCAGGATGTCCCGGTTCCAGCTGATGCAGCTCTGGGAGCCACCGGGGAGGGACGGTCAGGGGAGAGGGACAGCGGGATGGGGAGATGGAGGGACAAAAGGGTGGAGAAATGGAGGGACAATGTGGGGGATGGGGAGATGGAAGGACAAGGAGATGGACAATGGGATGGAGGGACAAGGAGGTGGACAATGGGATGGGGAGATGGAGGGAGAAAGGCATGGGGAGAGAGGGATGGGGAGATGGAGGGACAAAGGGAAGGAAAGAGGGACAGAGGGATGGACATCAGGATGGGCAGGCGGCTGGAGGGAGGGATGGACAGAAGGGTGGGCACAGAGATGGATGGATGGATGGATGGATGGATGGATGGATGGATGGATGGATGATGGATGGAGGGATGGATCCATAGATCCATGGATCCGTGGAGGGATGGATCCATGGAGGGATGGATCCATGGATGGATCCATGGAGGGAGGGATGGACAGAAGGTTGGACAGACGGAGGAATGGACGGAAGGAGGGACAGAGCAATGGGGAGATGGATGGAGAGGAGGGTGGTGATGGAGGATGGGAGGAGGGATGGAGGGGAGGAAGGAGGGATGGAGGGACAAAAGGACACGGAGGGAGCGATGGTTTGGAGCCTCCTGCTCCCCATCCCCACCTGGGCGTAGTCATTGAACTTGCGGAGCTCCTCGTCAGCCAGGATCTCGTTTATGGTCGGCTTGGACACCCTGTCCAGCCCTGCCAAGAGGGAGCCAGGCTGGAATTCTGCCCCAGCTCAGCCGGGCTCAGACTACAGCTCTGCCCCGGAGCTCCATCCCAACCCAGCAATCCAACCCCTGCAGCTTTAATTAATTAATTAATTAATCAATTCTGCTCCATTCTGCCTCCACTTCCCAGCCGGATTTCAGGGTCCATCCACCTCCCCCATCACATTTTGCAGGAAAAAGGGGAAACAAACATAGGGATCCCCATTGCCCATCCTGCCCTACCCTGGAACATCGCGGCCTCGCCAAACCCCTCCTCCTGCTTCTCCTTCAGCAGCTGGTAGCAGGCGCTGGGGCTGGCCAGGAGCAGCCGGAATCCCTGCAGGGGAGGAAGAGGAGGAGGAGGAGGAGGTTGGGGAAGGCTCTGAGGGTCTCATCCTGCTTTTTCCCACTCCCAGGATCCGTTACCTTCCGGTCGGGAGCAGGGACGAAGGTCAGGAACTCATCCACGTGCCCGACGTAGAGCCAGTCCGAGAAGAGCTCCACGGGCGCCTGCACCTTCTGGGCCACCAGGAAATCCCGCACGGCCTTGGCCATCCTGCGGCCGCCCACCCTGGCGGAGCACCGCGGGTTTGGGGAGGCTTTGCTGGGAACCAACCCCAAACAGGGCCGGGAAATCCTGGGTTTGGGGTTTTTCCTGCTCCGCTGGGAGCCGACCCCAAATGGGGCTGGGAATTCCTGGGTTTGGGGTTTTCCCTGCTCTGTTCGTAGCTGACCCCAAATGGGGCTGGGAATTCCTGGGTTTGGGGTTTCCCTGCTCCGCTCAGAGCCGACCCCAAACGGGGCCAGGAAATCCCGGTTTTGGGGTTTTTCATGACCCCAAATGGGACTGGGAATTCCTGGGTTTGGGGTTTTCCATGCTCTGCTTGGAGCTGACCCCAAACAGGGCCAGGAAATCCTGGGTTTGGGGTTTTTCATGATCCCAAATGGGGCCGGGAAATCCTGGGTTTGGGGTTTTTCATGATCCCAAATGGGGCTGGGAAATCCTGGGTTTGGGTTTTTTCATGACCCCAAACGGGGCCGGGAAATCCTGGGTTTGGTTTTTCATGACCCCAAATGGTGCCGGGAAATCCTGGGTTTGGGGTTTTCCTCCACTTGGAACCAACTCCAAATGGGGCTGGGAAGTTCTGGGTTTGGGGTTATTCCTGCTCTGCTCAGAACCGACCCCAAACGGGCCTGGGAAATTCTGGGTTTTGGGGTTTTTCGGCTCACCTGGGGAAGCTGCTGCCGATCAGGATGCGCCCCAAGGGATACTCCTTGCCCTGCACCGTCACGGGCGGGCTCACCTCCAAATTCCCGAAAGAATCCAGGCTGGAAAACCAGCCCTTTGGAGCCTGCCGGGCCACGTAGCCAAAATCGGCGCCCTGAGCGGTGGGAAAATGGGACAAAGTGGTTAAAAAAATGCAGCTGTCAACACCAAATCCTCTGTGCTGGAGCATCCGATCCCAAAAATGCAGGAGATAAAGGGATTTGTCCCAGTTTTTAAAGGGATTTATCCCAGTTTCTAGGGGATTTATCCCAGTTTTTAGGGATCCCAGTTTTTGAAGGGATTTATTCCAGTATTTAAAGGGATTTATCCCAGTTTTTGATGGTATTTATCCCAGTTTTTGGAGGGATTTATCCCAGTTTTTAAAGGGATTTATTCCAGTATTTGAAGGAATTTATCCTAGTTTTTGAAGGGATTTATCCCAGTATTTAAAGGGATTCATCCTAGTTTTTAGGGGATTTATCCCAGTTTTTAGGGGAATTATCTCAGTTTTTGAAGGGATTTATCCCATTTTTTGATGGGATTTATCTCAGTATTTAGGGGATTTATCCCAGTTTTTAAAGGGATTTATCCCAGTTTTTAGGGGATTTATTCCAGTATTTGAAGAAATTTATCCCAGTTTTTAAAGGGATTTATCCCAGTATTTAAAGGGACCTATCCCAGTTTTTAGGGGATTTTATCCCTGTTTTTAAAAGGATTTATCCCAGCTTTTGGAAGGATTTATCCCAGTTTTTAGGGGGAAGGGGCTGGATACCAGGAGGCTCCTGACGGGAAAATCCTTCAGGCCGCCGTCCCGGGGCGAGTCGAAGACCACGGGGAGGGTCTTGTGGGGGGCCTGGATGTAGCCGAACTCTATCTCATCCTGCAGGAGGGATGGAGAATTTTGGGATCCCCCCCAGCGCTGCCGCAGCGAGGAGGGGCCGGGTGGCTCCTGTTCCCACCTGGATCCAGCGGTCCTGCTCGTTCTGCGGCGCCGGGACCACGGTCAGCGGCACCTGCACCCGCTCCGCCAGCGCGCGCACGGCCGCCCCACAAACTCCTCGTTCTTGTACACGCTGGGGGGAAAACGGGATAATCGGGATTTGGGAGCGGACCTGGCGGTGGGAAGGGTGGGAGAACCCAGCAGAACCCACCTGCAGACAAAGACCTCGAGCGGCACCGCCGTGTTGGGCGTCATGATCCAGGGAGCCACGCGGAACACCACGGTGTCCGTGAAGATCGGAGACTCCAGGGTGCCCTGGGGTGGTGGAGATGGAGTTTGGGATCTGTCCCAGCCCACCCAGGGATGTTGGGGATGGAGTTTGGGATCTGTCCCTGCTCTCCCAGCCGCCCCAGGGGAGGAAAAATTGAGGGGAAAGTGGGAGAAAAATGGGAAAATTTGGGTTCTGGGATGTTTGGGATGGAGTGTGGGATCTGTCCCCAATGTCCCAACCCACGTTGTTGTGGTGGCGATGGAGTTTGGGATCTGTCCCCAATGTCCCAACCCACATTGGTGTGATGGGGATGGAGTTTGGGATCTGTCCCTGCTGTACCAGCTCCCCCAGGGAGGAAAAATTGAGGGAAAAGTGGGGGGAAAATGGGAAAATTGAAGTTCTGGGATGGCTGGGATGGAGTCTGGGATGTGTCCCCATTGTCCCACCCCTCCTGGCATGGCAGGGATGGAGTTTGGGATCTGTCCCTGCTGTCCAAGCCCCTCCTTGGGATGACGGGGATGGTGTTTGGGATCTGTCCCCGTTGTACCATTCCCTCCTGGGGAGGAAAACTGGAGGGAAAAGTGGGGGAATGGGGGTTCTGGGATGGCAGGGATGGAGTTCGGGATCTGTCCATGCTGTCCCACCCTGGGATGGTGAAGATGGAGTTTGGGATCTGTTCCTGCTGTCCAAACCCCTCTGGGATGGAAGGGACAGAGTTTGGGATCAGTCCCCACTGTCCCAGCCCACCCTGGGATGGTGGGGATGGAGTTTAGGATCTGTTCCAGCCCCTGCTGGGATGGTGGGGATGGAGTTTGGGATCTGTCCAGGCTGTCCCACCCCCAGTGCCCCCTGGCCAGACCTCTTCAGCGCTCTCGAGCAGGGTGACGTGCAGGGACACGAGCCCCGAGAAGTCCACGTCGGGGAAGGCCAGGCCCTCCATGTAGAAGACGCTCTCGTGCTGGTGCCGGCTGGGCCGCACGGTGTAGGACAGCTCGGAGCCCCCCAGGACGGGCTTGAACCTCTCCAGCTCCACATTGTCTGCGGGACACGGACACCTCAAACCCAAACCCCAGCCCCGTTCCCACAGCGTTCCCCCTTGGTCCCTAAATCCACCCTAAATTCCGCCTGGATCCACCCCAAATCCCGCCTGGATCAGCTCAGCTGCGCCCGGGGCGTTGGAGAAGCAGCACAAGGATTTGGGGTTGATCCCGGTGAGCAGAGGGGTCCATGCCCGCAAAATCCCCCCAGATCTTCCCAAATTCCACCTGGATCTGCCCCAAATCCCACCTGGATCAGCTCAATCCTGTCTGGATCCGCTCAACTGCGCCCGGGGCGTTGGAGAAGCAGCGCAAAGATTTGGGGTTAATCCCAGTGAGCAGAGGGGTCCGTGCCCCCCAAATCCTCCCAAATCCCCGAAAATCCTCCTAAATCTCCCCAAATTTGAGCACTCACTGCCCCCGTAGAACACCCTGATCTTGTTGGCGTCGGCGAAGTCGAGGTGCAGCAGCAGGCGGTGCCCGGCGAAGGTGGCGCGGGGCCCGCGCGTCCTCAGCACCAGCTGCGCCATGTCCTGCAGGTCTGGGGAACCGGCACGGATCAGGGGAAATTGGGGGGAAAAGGAGAAAATTGGGGGAAAAGGGGAAAATCAGGGAAAAGAGGAAAACCAAGGGAAAAGGGGGAAACCAGGGAAAAACTGAGGGAGAAAAGGGAAACCCAGGGAAATGGGAAACCCAGGGAAAAGTGGAAAACTCAGGGAGAAGGGGAAAACCCAGGAGAAGGGGAAACCAGAGGAAAGGGGGAAACCAGGGGAAAACTGAAGGAGAAGGGGGAAACCGAAGGGAAAGGGGAAAACCAGGGGAAAAGGGGGAAACAGAGAAAAGGGCAAACTCAGGGAAAAGTGGAAAACAGAGGGAGAAGGGAAAAACTAAGGGGTAAAGGGGAAAATTGGGAGGAAAGGGGAAAATTGGGAGGAAAGGGGAAAATTGGGGGGAAATGGGAAAACCCAGGAAAAGGGGAAATCCAGGGAAAAGGGGGAAACCAGGGGAAAACTGTGGGAGAAGGGAAAACTGGGGGGAAAGAGGAAAATTGGGGGAAAAGGGGAAAACCTGGGGAAAAGGGGGAAAGGGGAAACCCAGGGAAAAGGGGAAAACTGAAAGAAAAGGGAAAACTAGAGGGAAAGGGGAAAACTGAGGGAATGTTTTTTTGAGGGAAAAGGGGGAAAACTAGGGGAGAAGTGGGAAAACGGCAGGCTCTGGGCTGAGGTAGGGAGAGAAAACTGAGGGAGAAGTGGGAGAAAATTGAGGGAAAAGTGGAAGAATGGGGGTCCTGGGCTGTGTTAGAGAGGGAAAATTGAGGGGAAAGTGGGAAAACAGCAGGTTCTGGGCTGTGGAAGAAAAGGGAAATTGAGGGGGAAGTGGGAAAATTTGGGCTCTGGGCTGCGGTAGGAATGGAAAATTGAGGGGAAAGTGGGAAAATTCAGGGAAAAGGGAGGGAAAACTCAGGGAAAAGTGGGAAAAGGGAGGGAAGAGCGGGAGCCGGGGTCTCGGGGCTGTCAAGACCTTCGTAGGAGCGCACGACGCTGTCCTCGTTGTCCAGGCCCTTGGTGCCGGTGTCGTCGCGGTCGCAGTTGACGAGGAGCACGGCCCCATGGCCATCAGGGCCCCACGTCCAGCTGGCCTGGGGGACACGGAGCGGGGCCGGGTCAGCTGGGAATTCCCAATCCCATTGGTGTCTGGGGCTCAGCTGGGAATTCCCAAACCCATTGAGGCCTGGGGGCTCATCCAGGAATTCCCAGTCCCATCGGGATCTGGGAGTCAGCTGGGGATCCCCAGTCCCATCGGGATCTGGGAGTCAGCCAGGAATTCCCAATCCCACTGGGGTTTGAGGCTCATCCAAGAATTCCCAATCCCATCAGGGCCTGGGGTTCAGTCAGAAATTCCCAATCCCACTGGGGTCTAGGAGCTCATCCAGGAATTCCCAATCCCATTGGGATCTGGGATTCAGTCAAGAATTCCCAATCCCATCAGGGTCTAGGGGCTCATCCAGTAATTCCCAATTCCACCAGGGCCTGGGGACTCATCCAAGAATTTCCAATCCCATCGGGATCTGGGGCTTATCCAGGAATTCCCAATCCCGTCAGGGCCTGGGGACTCATCAAGGAATTCCCAATTCCATCGCGCCCTGGGGTTCAGCCAGGAATTCCCATTCCCATTAGGGTTTGAGGCTCATCCAAGAATTCCCAATCCCATCAGGGCCTGGTGGCTCATCCAGGAATTCCCAATCCCACGGTGTTCCCGGCCCCTCTGCATACCTTGTCCAGCAGTGTCCGGCTCACAGCCCCGCTGCGGGTGACATCAGCATCCAGAGACACCTCTGTGGGACAGGGATGAGATGGGAAAAGGGGAAATCCTGGGAATGGGGGTTCGGGAAGGGGAAATCCCAGGAATGGGGGTTTGGGAAGGGGAAATCCCAGGAATGGGGGTTTGGGGAATGGGGATTTGGGAATGGGGCTTGGGGAACGGGGGTTCGGGAAGGAGATTCGGGAATGGGGGTTCAGGAATGGGAGTTGGGGAATGAGGATTTGGGAATGGGGATATGGGAATGGGAGTTTGGGAATGGGGGTTCGGGAAAGGAGTTGGGGAAGGAGATTCAGGAAATGGGAGTTGGGGAATGGGGGGTCTGGGGAATGGGAGTTGGGGAATGGGGGTTTGGGAATGGGGATTTGGGGAATGGGGTTTGGGTTGATCCCCCCTTACCCACGCAGGTGAGGTAGAGCACGGCCCGGCCCACGGGAACCCCGCCGTCCTCACGGAAATAGGAAACCCTGACCTGCAACGAGGAGCAGGGCAATGAGACAGCCGGGCGGGATCCCGGGATCCACTGGGAATCCCAACACCCAGACGGGATCCCAGCACCCATCCCAGTATCCAGCAGGAATCCCAGGATCCAGTAGGAATCCTGGCGCCCAGTGAGGATCCTGGCATCCATCCCAGGATCCAGTGGGAATTCTGAGATCCATCAGGAATCCTGGGATCCTCAGGACTCCCAAAACCCAGCGGAAATCCTGGGATCCAGTGGGAATCCCATCACCCATTCCAACACACAGTGAGAATCCCAGATCCAGTGGGAATCCTGTCACCCATCCCAGCACCCACTGAGAATCCCAGCACCCAATGCAGATCAAGTGGGATCTGGGGACCCAGAGGAGATCCCAACACCCAGTAGGAATCCAGCACCCAGTGGGAATCTCACGATCCAGCAAGAATCCCAACACCCAACAGGATCCCGCAGGAATCCCAACACCCAGCAGGAATCCTGGGATCCAGCAGGAATTCCAACACCCATCAGGAATCCCGGGATCCAGCAGGAATCCCAAAGCCCAGCAGAAATCTTGGGATCCAGTGGGAATTCCAACACCCAGCAGGATCCAGCAGGAATCCCAACATCCTACAGGATCCAGTGGGAATCCCAACACCCATTGGGAGTCCTGAGATCCAGCAGGAATCCCAACACCCAGCAGGATCCAGTGGGAATCCCAACACCCAGCAGGAATTCCAGGATCCAGCGGGAATCCCAACACCCATCAGAAATCCTGGAATCCAGCAGGAATTGCAACACCCATCAGGAATCCTGGGATCCAGCGAGAATCCCATCACCCAACCGGATCCCAGCATCCAGCAGGAATCCTAACACCCAACATGATCCCAGGATCCAGCGGGAATCCCGTCACCCATCCCATCACCCAGCATGATTCCATCGGGATCCCCTCTCACCTTCTCGTCCCCCGGCTCCTTGCTGGGGCGCTCCATGGCCAGCAGCAGCTCGGGCCGGGCGCTCAGGGGCCATCGGCAGACGCTCGAGGGCAGCTTCACGCTCTGGGTGTTGTGCAGCACCCACAGCTTCACCCCCTGGGAGCCCTGCGCCTGGAACGAGGCGGCGCCAAGCGGGGCCGAGCTGCAACGGGAGCGGGAGCGGGGGTCAGGAACACGGGAATGATGGCAGGAATGGGCTGGGCTGGAATGGGAGCGGGGTCAACAATGGGAATGATGGCAGGAATGGGGCTGGGCTGGAATGGGAGCAAGATCAGGAACACGGGGATGATGGCGGGAATGGGCTGGGATGGAACAGGAGCAGGGTCAGGAACACGGGAATGATGGCAGGAATGGGCTGGAACGGGAACGGGAACGGGGTCAGGAACATGGGAATGATGGCAGGAATGGGGCCGAGCTGGAGCAGGAGTGGGGTCAGGAACATGGGAATGATGGCAGGAATGGGGCCGAGCTGGAGCAGGAGTGGGGTCAACAATGGGAATGATGGCAGGAATGGGCTGGGCTGGAATGGGAGCGGGGTCAGGAACACGGGAATGATGGCAGGAATGGGCTGGGCTGGAACGGGAGTGGGGTCAGAACAGTGGGAATGATGGCAGGAATGGAGCTGGGCTGGAACAGGAGTGGGGTCAGGAACATGGGAATGATGGCAGGAATGGGGCCGAGCTGGAGCAGGAGCGGGGTCAGGAACATGGGAATGATGGCAGGAATGGGCTGGGCTGGAATGGGAGCAAGGTCAGGACAACGGGAATGATGGCAGGAATGGGCCGAGCTGGAACGGGAGTGGGGTCAGAACAGTGGGAATGATGGCAGGAATGGGGCTGGGCTGGAACAGGAGTGGGGTCAGGAACATGGGAATGATGGCAGGAATGGGGCCGAGCTGGAGCAGGAGCGGGGTCAGGAACATGGGAATGATGGCAGGAATGGGCTGGGCTGGAATGGGAGCAAGGTCAGGACAACGGGAATGATGGCAGGAATGGGCCGAGCTGGAACGGGAGTGGGGTCAGAACAGTGGGAATGATGGCAGGAATGGGGCTGGGCTGGAACAGGAGTGGGGTCAGGAACATGGGAATCATGGCAGGAATGGGCTGGGCTGGAATGGGAGCAAGGTCAGGACAACGGGAATGATGGCAGGAATGGGCCGAGCTGGAACGGGAGTGGGGTCAGAACAGTGGGAATCATGGCAGGAATGGGGCTGGGCTGGAACAGGAGTGGGGTCAGGAACATGGGAATCATGGCAGGAATGGGGCTGGGCTGGAACAGGAGTGGGGTCAGGAACATGGGAATCATGGCAGGAATGGGCTGGGCTGGAATGGGAGCAAGGTCAGGAACATGGGAATCATGGCGGAAATGGGCTGGGCTGGAAGGGGAGCGGGGTCAGGAGAGGGAATGATGGCAGGAACGGGGCTGGGCTCAAACATTCCCAGGAAACGCGACCTCAACAAGGGCAGGGATGTGGAATTGGGGTGAAACCTTCCCAAGGGAACAATTCCAAAGGCAACAAATCCCAGGGTTTGAAAAATCAGAGAGTCATGGCAAATTCAAATATTCCTGGAAAATTCAAATATTCCCAGAAAACGCCACCTCAGAAAGGGCTGCGATGCGGAATAAAACTCAAACTTTCCCGGGAAATGCAGGGCTGGGATGTGGAATTGGGGTGAAACCTTCCAAAAGGAACAAATCCCGAGGTTTGGAATATCAATGATCCTGGGAACAGGATCAATGAGTCATGGAAAATTCAAATATTCCAGGGAAATGCAATTTCAGCAAGGGCAGGGATGTGGAATTGGTGTGAAAACTTCCAAAGGGAACAAATCCCAGGGTTTGGAATATCAGCAAGTCATGGGAAATTAAATATTCCTGGAAAATGCGACCTCAGCAAGGGCTGGGATGTGGATTTGGGGTAAAACCTTCCCAAGGGAAAATTTCCTGGGATTTGGAATATCAACGTGTCATGGAAAATTCATATATTCCTGGAAAATGTGATTTCAGCAAATGCTGAGATATGAAATTGGGGTAAATCCTTCAATGGGGAAAAAATCCTGCAATTTAGAACAGCAACAATCACTGAAAATGCAAATAATCCTGGAAAAGGTGAGGGCAACAAGCGCTGAGATGTGAATCCCTGAGAAATCCTTTAATTCAAACAAACCCTGAAATTCAGAACAGCAACAGGTCCTGAAAAAATGGAATTCATCCTGAAAAATGCAACTGCAGCAAGGGCTGCAAGATGGAATGGGGATAAATAATTCAGAGTGGAAAAAATCCCGCAGGAAATCCTGCAAGGTGGAATTGCATCGATTCCCTGGATGTGCATAAATACTGGAATTGCATGGATTCCCTGGATATGAACAAATCTGCAACCTGGGATTGCAGTGGTTCCTTAAATGTGCACAAATCCTGGGATTGCATCGATTCCCTGGATATGCACACATCCTGCAACCTGGAATTGCATGGATTCCCTGAATAGGCACAAATCCTGGAATTGCATGGATTCCCGAGATATGGGCAAATCCTACAACCTGGAATTGCATGGATTCCCTGGATATGAACAAATCCTGCAACCTGAAATTGCGTAAATTCCCTAAATGTGCACAAATCCTGGAATTGCATGGATTCCCTGGACATGAACAAATCCTGAAACCTGGAATTGCGTGGATTCCCTGGATAGGCACAAATCCCCCAGAACGTGCGAGCAGCCGCTCCTGGAAATTCCCGCAAATCCCCAAAGGCGATTAAAGCAAATCCCGCCCGAGGCTGCGAACCCAGGGCAAGGCGGCGGCGCCAACCTCACGGTAGGAATCCCGAAAAAAACCCAAATCCGGGGATATTCCGGGTGCAAAGCGTGCCTGGGAATAAACGGGAAGAGGATGGAATGGGACCCAGGGAAAGAACCACGGGAATCCCAAAAAAAACCCCAAATCCGGGGATATCCCGGGTGCAAAGCGCGCCTGGGAATAAACGGGAATAGGTGGGAATGAATCCCATGGAAAGAACCGCAGGAATCCCTAAAAAAATCCCAAATCCAGGGATATCTCGGGTGCAAAGCGCGCCCCGTCCCGCCATGGGAAACAGGAATAAACGGGAATAAATCCCACAAATAACGGCAGGAATTGCTCTGAAACGCACCGAAATCCTGGAATAAAACCCGCGAACATCCCGAGGGCAGCGGGGACGGGACCGGGCCGCGATGCCATCAATGCCAGCGCTGCCCGGGGGTGGTTCGGGCATGGATCTCCCCGAAATCGGCATTTCCCATCGGGGCACGGATCTCCCCAAAATCGGATTGGGGCACGGATCTCCCCAGAATCGGCATATCTGACTGGGGCACGGGTCTCCCCAAAATCGGATCGGGGCACGGATCTCCCCAAAATCGGCATTTCCCATCGGGGCACGGATCTCCCCAAAACTGGATTGGGGCACGGATCTCCCCAAAATCGGACTGGGGCACGGATCTCCCCAAAATCGGCATTTCTGATCGGGGCACGGATCTCCCCAAAATCGGCATTTCCCATCGGGGCACGGATCTCCCCAAAATCGGACTGGGGCACGGATCTCCCCAAAATCGGCATTTCTGACTGGGGCACGGGTTTCTCCAAAATCGGCTTTTCCCATCAGGGCACGGATCTCCCCAGAATCGGCATTTCCCATCGGGGGATCTCCCCAAAATCGGCGTTTCCAGCGCTGCCGGGCAGGCCGGAGCCCGTCCCGCCCCGCCCCGCTCGGGAGGCCGCGGGCGCCGGGCCCGGAGCGGATCCGGGAGAAGGAAACGCGGCTCGGTGCCCGGGAATGGGAAAATCCCAGCCCGGGGCAGCGCAGGGAACGGGACGGGCAGCGAGCCCCGGGCGGAGAGGGGAGAGGGGAGAAAAACCCCGGAGCGAGAGCCAGGGCCGGGCCGGGGGTTCGCTCTCTGCCTGCCACCGAAAGTGGGAAATGTTTCTTGTCTCATCCCGCCGGGTTAAAACCCCAAAAAGGGCTTGTGGTACCCCAAAAGTGGCAAAATCCCGCTGGGAATGTTGCGGTCCCGCTGTTGTGGGGATGTTTGGGAGTGTCTGTGAGGGACAGAGGGATGGACAGAGGGATGGATAGAGGGATGGACACTGGGATGGACACTGGAATGGACAGATGGACAGAGGGATGGACAGTAGGCATGGACAACAGGGATGGACAGAGGGATGTACAGCAGGATGGACAGCAGGATGGACAGATGGACAGAGGGATGGACTGTGGGATGGACAGAGGGGTGCACTCAGGGATCAACAGAGGAATGGACAGAGGGATGGACAGAGGGATGGACACTGTGAAAGGACACAAGGATGGACACAAGGAAAGGACAGAGGGGTGGACACTGGGATGGACAGAGGGATGGACAGATGGACAGAGGGATGGACTGTGGGATAGACAGAGGGGTGGACACTGGGATGGACAGAGGGAATGGACAGTAGGGATGGACCCTGGGAAAGGACACTGGCAAGGGACAGTAGGGATGGACAGCAGGGATGGACAGCGGGAAGAGACAATGCGGTGGACCCTGGGAATGGATCAAGGGAATGGACACTGGGAAGGGGCAATGGGAACCCCATCCCTCACCCCTGCCCCGTCCCGGGACAGCATCCCCCTGGGAAAAGCCCCCGCAGCAGCAGCAGCCACCGCCCCGCCCCACCGCGCGCTATTTCGGGCTTTGCTTAATGGGATCAGGGGGGAAAAGCGGATTTGTGCCCCGCGCTCACCCGCACACGTCCAGGGCCAGCTCGGTGCCCAGCACGCACACGGCGCTGCCGGGGCGCTGCGTGGACAGCGGGACACGGCGCTGCTGCGCCATCGCACCCGCGGGTGCCGCGCCCGGCCGCCGCGGGGGATTTATAAAGCCGGGCTGCGGGGAGGGGATCAGCCAAAGCCCGGCCTAATCCCACCCCCGGGCTGGGTGTGCGCGGCTCCGAGCGGGGGGAAGCGGCCCGGGACGCCCACGGGATGTTTCGGGGGGTCCGGGGGGGCGGTCCGGGCTCCGGCCAGCCCCGAGGGACGCGGGGGGAGCGCTCCCCGTCCTGCCCACGCCGTGAAATATTCACCGCGACACCCGAGCCGGGCTGGGCCCGCGCCAGCGCCGGGCACGGCCGGGTTTGATTTCTCCTTGCGCTGAAAGGCTCCGTTTGTTCGGCCGGGACAAAGCGCTGGAATTCTCCCTCGGGGCGGGCAGGGCGCTCTGCGGGCTCCGCGGGGATGGGGACAGCGCGGGGGACAGCGGACCCCCGGCGGCGTTAATCACCTTTGTTTTAATTAAAGCCCCGGCTGCGCGTGGGAGCCCGGAGCGCTTTGTCCCGCAGCTGTTCCCAAACCCCCTCCCCGCCATCACGCCGCGGCCCGGGTTTAATGTCGCTCCTCGGGGCCCGGGAATATCAGCAGGGACATAGCTCCGATGGATGGGGTTGGAAATGGGGTCAGAATGGGGTTAGAAACTCGCTTTTGGGGCAAAAAGGGAGGGGGAAGGGGATATGTGGCAGCATCCCTCGCGGGTTCTGTTCGAGCCGCAGGTGCAGCCGCACCTCAGAAACGCTGCCAGGAGAGCGAATTGCCCAAAATCAGCGTGTCTGGCCCCAGAACCGGCAGCGGGGCTGTGCAGGGCCGAGCCGTGCCTGGGGCACTGGGCGGGTTTCGGTTCCCGGGGCGGTGCCAGGCGGTGCCAGGCGGGCACGGGGAAGTGTCGCGCTCCGGTGGAGACGAAGAGCGGAGGAAATTCCCTCTTGGAAAGGCGTGAAAAGGTCCCCGAGGAGGGCAGGAGGGGTTCCTGCGCCTGAGAACCAGGTTCCTCAGCAGGAAGCGATTTTTTGGCCAAAACAGGGAATTTTGGGGGTGCCATCAGCTGCAAAGCCGCGGGCGCGGACTCAGTGACCCCGCGGACGTGGGATGGGGCCCGCACCCCCCAGAGCAGCCTCCCCACCCCCGCTGTCCCCACCAGCCCCAAACCAAACCCCCGTGCCCAAAACCAGGCTCCAAAAGACTTCTTCACACCGGGAGCGAAGGAAAGAAGGACGAGAAACGGGGAAATGCTGCCCCCTCAGTGTCCGTGAAGCTTTATTGGCCAAACCCGAGCTGTCAGTGCTTTTCCGGCACAGGAAATGCACCTTCCCCCTGGGCTGGAGGAAATACACATCTTCCCTGGGCTGCAGGAAATACACCTTTCCCCCTGGGCTGCAGGAAATGCACCTTCCCTGGGCTGCAGGAAATGCACACCTTCCCTGGGCTGCAGGAAATGCACCTTCCCCCTGGGCTGCAGGAGATGCACATCTTCCCTGGGCTGCAGGAAATGCGCTTTTCCCTGCAGGACCCGGCCCAGGGCGCTCAGGGCACGGCACCACGTGCCACCACTTGAAGGTGAAGGGCTTGCGGCGCACGTTGGTGCCGCAGTGAACATCCCCCGACAGGACGTGGTAGGAGAAGAAGTCGTCGATGAAGGTGCAGGAGAGGCCCAGCGGCTCCAGCAGCTCCCGCACGCGCTGCTCCAGGCAGCAGCGCCCGCCCACCACGGGCCCGAAGGGTTTGGGGATGCCCAGGTGCCGGCCCAGCACCAGCATGTTCACCTGGAGCAGAGCGGGGAGTACAGCAGGGATTGATCCTGGAGATCGGGATCGGGGCAGGGTTGTGGGGTCGGGGTCTCACCATGTCCGGGAAGAGCGCGTCGGCGCGGGAGTTGGTCAGGATGAAGAGCTGCGGGATGTCCACGATGTCCTGCTCGCTCAGCCCCAGCTCCTGCTTCAGCAGGTCGCGGTTCCAGTCGATGCAGCGCTGTGGGAAGGAACCAGAGCTGCCATCCCAGCCCTCCACATCCCACCCACAGACCCCGCTGGATCCTGCCTGGATCCCACCCCATCCCTGCGCACAACCTCCCACGCCATCCCCATCCCATCCCATCCCTGTGGACACCTCCCATCTCCATCCCATTCCATCCTATCCCATCCCATCCCTGGGAACAACCACCCATCCCATCCCCATCATATCCCCATCCTGTCCCATCTCATCTAATCCCCATCCCATCTCATCTCATCCCCATCCACATCCCATCCCATCCCATCCCATCCCATCCCATCCCCATCCCATCCCATCCCATCCCCATCCCATCCCATCCCATCCCATCCCATCCTCTCCATGTCCCTCGGCTCATCTCCCTCTCCTCAGCCCTCCAGCCCCTCCGGCCATTCCCCAGGACCCCAAATCCCATCCCTGCACCCCGGAACCCCCCTGGAATGAGCAGGGGGAGCCCCCAGGTCCCACCTGCACGTGGCGGTTGTCGCTGCGCAGGGACTCGTCCGCCAGGATCTCGTCGATGCTCTTCTTCTCAGTGCCCTTCAGCCCTGGAGCGAGGGAGCGCTCAGGGACAGAGGGACGGGATGGACAGGAGGATGGACAGCGGGATGGACAGAGGGATGGACACTGGGATGGACACTGGGATGGACAGGAGGATGGACAGCAGGATGGACAGAGGGATGGACACTGGGATGGACAGGAGGATGGACAGCGGGATGGACAGAGGGATGGACACTGGGATGGACAGGAGGATGGACAGTGGGATGGACAGAGGGATGGACAGAGGGATAAAAAGTGGAGTGGACAGCAGGATAGACAGAGGGATGGACATTGGGAATGGGCAGTGGGATGGACAGTGGGATGGACATTGGGAATGGGCAGTGGGATGGACAGCAGGATGGACAGTGGGATGGACAGCAGGATGGACACTGGTAATGAACAGAGGGATGGACACTGGGAATGGACAGAGGGATGGACAGCAGGAAGGGACAGTGGGAAGGACAGCAGGATGGACACTGGGAATGGATACTTGGAAGGGACAGCAAGAAGGCACAGCAGGAATGCCGTTCCCTAGGGATGGCCTCAGCCCTCACCGATGAACTGCGTGGCCTCCCCGTGGCCCTGCTGCTGCTTCTCCTTGAAGAGTTTGTAGCAGGCGTTGGGACTGGCCAGGAGCAGCCGGAATCCCTGCGGGACAGAGCCCGGGGGTCACCCCTGGTGTGGGGGACAAAACACCCCAGAGGCACCACGGCCATCCCAAACCCAGCCCTGGGGCCATGGGATGGCCTTGGAGATCCCATATCCATCCCTGGGGTTATGAGATGCTCATGGAGATTTCAAATCCATCCCTGGGGCTATGAGATGCCCATGCCAATCCCAAATCCATCCCCAGGACATGGGATGCCCACAGTAATCCCAAATCCATCCCTGGGCCATGAGATGCTCATGCCTATCCCAAACCCATCCCTGGGACTATGAGATGCTCGTGCCAATCCCAAATCCACCCCTGGGCCATGAGATCCTCATGCCAATCCCAAACCCATCCCCCTGGGTCACCCCAAAGGGGCTCCATCCCCCAGAGCTCCCAGAAGGACAAACAGCTGTCAAAGGGGATTTTTTGGGTGCTGTGAAGAGCCCTGGGCAGGCTCTGGGGTTGGCACCTTCCTGTCCAGGGCAGGGACGAAGGTGAGGAACTCATCCACGTGGCCCACGCTGAGCCACTCCGAGTAGACCTCGAGCGGCGCCTGCACCTTCTGCGCGAAGAGGAAATCCCGCACGGCGCGGCACATCCTGCGCCCGGCCATCCTGCCGGACAGGCACAGGTGGGCACCGCTCCTGGCCCAAAACCCCGCCCCAAAAACTGCTCCCTCACCAAAACCCCCGCCCCAAAACCCCCACCCCAAAACCTGCTCCCTCACCAAAACCCCACCCCAAAACCTGCTCCCTCACCCAAACCCCCACCCCAAAACCCCACCCCAACCCAAAACCCGCTCCCTTCCCAAAACCCGCTCCCCACCCCAAAACCTGCTCCCTCACCAAAATTCACTCCCCAAAACCCCCTCACCAAAACCCACTCCCCTACCCAAAACCCACTCCCTGCCCCAAAACACCAATCCCAAAATCCCCTCCCCAAAACCTCACCCTAAAATCTGCTCCCTCACCAAAATCTCCTCCCTGCCCCAAAACCCACTCTCCGCCCCAAAACTCGGTCCTCTCCCTAAAACCTGCTCCCCAAAATCCCCTCCCTACCCCAAAACCCATTCTCTGCTCCAAAACCCCCTCCCCAAAATCCACTCCCCAAACCTCCCCCCGATCACCCCAGGGCTCATTTTTATCCTGTTTTTCAGGGAAAATGGCCCAAGCTACATTACAGACATCCACGTATTTAAATACATGTAATAAAATAAATTATAGATTGTTCTGCTTTAATACAGATTTATCTGCCTAATGACCCAATTATGTATCATTATATCTGTTATATATTAATGTAGTCCTGTGTTATTTATTAAGTGAGGCAATATTTACATGTTATATAAATATATTTTGCTAAATCTATATGCTATGTAAACATTTCATTATAAATATTCATTACTGGATCCCTGTATTACATAAATATATATTAATAAATCCCTATCTTATATAAATACATAAATAAAAATCTATATCACTAGATCCATACATTATATAAATATATCAATATAAATATATGTTACTAGATCCCAATATAATATAAATATATATTACTAAATCCCTACCTTATATAAATATATATTACTAGATCCCTACATTATATAAACATATCAACATAACTCCCTCTGTTTTAGATAAATACATCAATATATCGCTATATTATATAAAGTGTTAACATCTACATATTATAGAAATACATACTGCTAAATCTCTATATTATATAAATATATATTGCTAAATTCCTATACTATATAAATATATATATTACTAAATCTCTATCTTATATAAATATATATTACTAGATCCCTAATGTTACATAAATATATGAATGTATCTCCCTGTATTTTAGATAAATACAGCTATATATTCCCATATTATATATACATGCTAATATATACATAT